ATCATTCCAACTCTACAGGTAAAACCTGAAAGCATCATAGACAACAAGAAAATGTTATTTACCCAAGCAAATAGTAGGTTGGTTTCTCCCAAGGGCTTTGAAAGTTTAGTTGATCAGTTTCCATGGGATTCTTAGGAAACAATAAAAAATCAGACCCCAGCTAGAAAATCTTTAAGAGAACTGAGTCTCTGATTTTGGTGAGTCTTGTGTAGGTTGTTTGGCTTCAGTGCAGAGGTTTTTGGGATGCTGTGATTTGATATGTGTGTTTGCTGTCCATTCTGGTTCTAAGATGTATCTGAGCACCCAATAAATCCTACCTGGCAATGAGGTTTCAGATACAGAAGCATTATTATTCAAATTTCTCTTTCCATTTGTGAAAGTGAATAGCCCAGGTAATAAGCATTCAAATCTTAAGCAAAAGCCAAAGTTTTTTACCCAAGGATCCCAAATGGACAGCAGAGTCACTGTTAAAGTTTATTGCAGTCATGATCTGTGATAATAGCCATGGGAAATACAAACAAGKACATTCAGTTATCACGTGTAATTCATAAAATCTGATGCTTTATCTCAAGTGATTGCACACATTTGAATAAGATGCACCATGCCAGGAAACCTTACAGAACAAAATGCTTCTCAGAGCTTGATAAGGCAGGTGCTCAAAGGAACCAATAAAATGGAGGAATTCATAGAGAGAGAATCAGTTCAGGGTCTCTGAGCTGGAAAGAATATAATCTCAAGATGGTAGCCATAACAAAGGCTCCTTGCCAYCATTACCCACACACCTGTAATATGCTTTGCTGTCTACCTCAAATTACATGCATGCCAGATTTCTGTCTTCTTAAAACATTGCTCACAAGTCTYTGGTTATTCCCTGTCTGTACATCGATCTCACAAGGCCTTCTCTCCTCTCTTCTTATCTATCATAAACCATCTGTGCGCGCACGCACACACACACACACACACACACAGATTGGTTAATCTATGTTTGTGATACACACTATACTTACCTACTCACTTTTTAACTAATAGTTCTTTTCTTTTATCCATGATCCCTGCACTCCTGTGTACTGGGCTCCTAGCAGATACAATTGACATCAATGTATTTCTTTTGTTTTCATGTCTGAATTCTGTGTATGTATTTCTTTATAAAATTTCAAGTTCTACACCCCATGGTAAACCTGAAGCCAGCCAAATGTACAGCCAAAGCCTTGTCTCTCTCCACACAYCTCCCTCCTTCAGGACATCCAGACACCCAGCGTACAATTGATGTTCTTCACAGTCCTTTCGGATCCTTCTCTCACCAACTCGTTTATATTATGAGATTCATTTAACTGCTTCCCTCAATTTTTCATGCAGTCTTAAGTTTTAACGCTCTCTGTACTGGAGGAATGAAAGATAGAAGACACATAAGGTCAAAATATTTATATTAGTGTCAGGAAACCTGCTTCTCATCCTGGTTCTGCTCCTCTTTAACCCCCCAAAGTCTCTTTCCCTCCCTAAACCTCATTTGCCCATMTATAAAATGAGAGCTTAGGACATACTACTAGCTGATTTATCCCATTTCATCATTCTATACCTTCATCTTACCTAAGCATAAGACAAAAGTGTGAAACCACAGACTTTGAGACTAGAGAGACCCAGATTTCAATCCTGCCTTTGCCTTATGCTAGTTGGGGCTTCATTTTCTCTTCCATAAAGTGAAAAGTAAAAATAGAAACCCCTACYCATGCCATTCACTTATGAGAACAAGAGATAATGGAAGTAAAGCCCCTGACACTGAAAATRCTGGCTCTAAGTGCAGCTATCATCCTTCTTAAACATTTGTCAAGCGATCATGTTTGGGCAATGGATGGAACAAGTATGATGTTTATTAGGGCCTCTAGTAGGGAGCACCAGAAATCATACAGAGAGGCAGCAGACAATGCCATATATGATTCAAAAGCAAAATTTAGAAAAAGCTGATGCTAGGAAACATTCCTCATCAAGATCTGAGCAGGAAGAAGATGCCCCTCACCTACCTGGGGACTCTCAATCCAAGGAGGTTTAATCAGTAACCTGAAAAATAGGTGGGGTGACAGGGAAGGCAGGAAGAGAGGTTGGCCATTTATTTATATGACTACCCCTATACCAGCTCCAAGGGCAAAGAGTACCTTTTCCCTGGCAACTGMAGTCAACAGACTTTCACCAGCTTGAACTGTGGACTTGGAGAATGTTTGCCTCTGAAAAGGGGAAACCCATTACCCTTCTCTATGTGCTCAAGAGACTGGTACCACCGCACAAACTGAAATCTAAGGGACAGTTCCATCACCAGTTCCTGCTACTTTTAGAGTGACCTTCCCACCCTCCTGCTTATCTACAGTAAAGGCTCACTTCAATTTCAACCCATCTCAGATATTAGCCAGGACAGATCTTTTACAAAATTCCAAAACTGGTTTAATCTCTCCTTTGGTGTTGGATAAGGTAGAATTTAAAAAAAAAGGAGAAAAACTTGCTATAGCCAATCACATGCTTTTTTGATAGAGCAATAAGTACTTTGTATCTGCTGGAAAGGGGAAAGCCAGAGCCACTCCTAGGTGATATCAGAAAATGCCAATTCTCTCTCTGCCCTGCAGTATGAGAGCTGAAGTCTCTCTCAATCAGTTATGGTTTTCATCGTCTCTTACATTTCAGTAACTTTATGCTTTCAAATGAATTCACTGAATCCTCACTACCCACCTCTCAGTGAGGTCGACAAGGCAATTATTATTCCCAGTTTCCTCATGAAGAAGGGACATCTAAAGAGTTTATGCCATTTGCTCCCAGATCACCTGTTAGTGAGCAATGAATGGACCAGGAGTCCAGCTTCCTCCAATTATACTGCTAGATGGTTTGTCACCAAGGTCCTACTGGTCCTATTTTCATTCTCTTATTCTTTATTATTCACCCACTGACCCACCCTTCCTTCCTTCTTTTTGTTTTTTCTCTTCTTCCTTCCTTCCTTCCACTATTGTTTTAACCTTTATCAGGTAATTACTTTGGAGATAGAAAAATGCCAAGCAAAACCTACAAGCAAGTTTTCCTATCTTTTTTGGACTGTCAGTATCTTAGAATTCAGAGGTTTCTGAGGTTGATTGGGAAGAGTTGCTTTGTTTTATTTTTGGATTTTTGCTTGGTTTTGTTTTACCATCATGATGAATGGACTTCAACACTTCCAAGAAAGGAAAAGTGAAGTGAGGAAGGAAGAGGAGGCTTGTTCCGGTAGGCCAGTCAAAAGATCTTCCCAGCTTTCAAATGTGCCCAGTGGCCAGCCAATCCCTGAGAAATCTTAAACTGGAGCCTGCAGTTCTGGGCTGGCAGGGAGGGTAGGATAAAGGGCCACTACTAGGAGCATCCCAGTGGTTGGATTTAGAGAGAATAAAAGTCCCCCAGAGGTTTAGCAATGAAAGGTCCAGGGAACTGATTCCAAGTGAATACTAGGAGCCCCATGCAGTGAAAAGGACAGTGAACTAAGGCACACAGAACTGGTTTTTATTCCTGATATAGGATTATGAGAAGTACTTTACATCCCCAGGTGTTTTCATTCCCCTTTTGCAGAGGATTGCATATCTCCCTTTCAAAACTCATGTTAAAACAGTCCTCAAAACCATGTTATAGTATTTGATAGTATTTGGAGGTGGAGCCTTTGGGAGGAAATTGGGATAAGATAAGATCATCAGGGCCAGCCCCTGTGACCAGGGAAGGKAGATATGTGCTGACATACACTTAATCTGTCTTGTTCTGTTAAAGAGGTCTTCATCAAATGAAGGCCTTTTGATATTAGGCTTTCCAGTCTCCAGATACATGAGACAAGTAAACTTCTATTTTTATAATTGACCAAGTCTGTGGTATTCAGTTATAGTACAGAAAATAGAACTACCAATTAACAAAGAATGTCACTGTTCCCTTTCAAAATTGGTATTGACTGTCTATGTTGAACAGCCTCAGAAATATCACATGGAGTCAGATTATAACCTGATAGGACACAAATTTTCATGGTTGCCTCAGGTTGAGACCAGTCCTTAGATGTCCTTAACTTCCCCCCTTTTTAATTGACTAATAAATATTTAACATGTTTATCCTGTAAACCATGATGTTTTGAAATGGGTGTACATTACTTAATGGTTCAAAGAGTCAGTTCACATATGTATCACCTCCCAATATGTGTTTATGTGAGAACAGTTAAAGGCAGCTTTCTTAGCAATTCTCAAGTATATACAACATGTTATCATTGACTGTAGTCATCATGTTGTACAATAGATCTCTTGAACTTATTTCTCCAGTTTACCTGAACTTTTCCATCCTTAGACCAAGATTCCCCCTCCCCATCAGCCTCTGGTAACAYTATTTTTCAGATTAGGTGGTTTTATTTTTCTGTGTTCAGCTTATTTCACTTAACATAATATCCTCCAGGTTCATCATATTGTCACAATTAAAAGTTTTTTTCATTATTTAAAGAGCTAAATAGAATGCATTCTGCTGTCATATATAAATAAAAAAATTAAAATAGAACTAAATAGTACTTTATTGTGTGTACATACACCACATTTACTGTACCCATTCATTTGTTGATGGTCACTTAGGTTGATTTCATGTCTTGACTATTGTGAATCATGCTGCAATTAGTGTGGGAGTGCAGGTATTTTTTGACATATTTATTTCATTTCCTTTGAATATATACCCAGAAGTGGAATTGCTGGATCACATGGTATTTTAATTCTTTAACTCCATCTTAATCTTCTAATAAGAACAGCTTCCACTGAAACTTTGTAAACCTGTTTTGTTCCCAACCTCTGCCACAGTGGGGAACAAGGAGTTCCACTAAACTTCATTGGCTCTTTGATGCATGAAACAGGATTTTGCCCTGAGCAGCAAGAAGGCTTATGGAACCAAGTTCATAGAGACACATAGAGCTGCCTCTTGGTGAATGACAGTGGGCAGCTTCTGAGGCAGCCAGGGCCCAGTCCACAGTGCAGCGTACTCACCGAGATCTTAGTAAATATGTAGAGAAGCAGGGACAGAACGGAAAGGTAAATCTGGATCTGCTTGCCTCCAAACCTCTTCCGCAGGTACTCTGGCATTGTCACTACCTGCATGGAATGCAAGAGAGGTCATCACCAGCAAGAGTGACCAGAGAGCCCAGAGAACACAGAAAAAATGAGAGCCATCTTGGTGTTAGAGTCATAATAGTATGGTCAAGGATTCATTATCCTTGTTGGCCTGGGAAATCTGCAAAGTGGCCAGGTGACCACAGACATTCAGCCATTTGCTCATTTCAATCTCACCTGCCCTACCACTATAGGAGTAGCTAGGCATTATCCCAGAACATAGAAAGTGCCAAATAAACACCTGTTTTTGAATGAATACATAACTGGACTCAACTAAGGAAGCAGATCCTTGTCCTGGAGAGGAGGGGAAATGTATATAGATATATCTATATATAGAGAGATATATTCCTATATAGAGCACCTAATGAAAACAAGTCATAGGCAGATATATTCCTATATGGAGCACCTACTGAAAAACAAGACATCATAACATTGATGGCATCTTGCCAGTGTACTAAACTAGTAAACTAGGCTGGATGTGACCTGCAACATGCTCTTCACATAGGCAATGCCAAGGATTATAGCTATAAGTCTGCCCAAATGTTCTCTCAGTTCCTTCCTGCAAATTCTAATCACACCTCTGCCCTAAGATTGTTGTCCTCTGGGACAAAACATGTGTTACCATCAATCTGTGAGTCTCCAGAAGATGTAGTACCTTCCCTATTTTCCCCACATTTACACATAGGAGGTGCTCAGTATATCTCACTGAACAGGTGATACTAAAGATACCCTATGTAAAATGTCAGAGAGACACAATCAGGATACCAAGCATGCATTTGATAGTTGAGTACCAGCTGCATGCTCAGCAAATAAGAACTACTGATGTACATAAATAAAGAGGAAACACAGTTCTTTTTCTCAATCTGTTTCCTTTCTAGAGGCAGAAACTTGACATAGTTGTACATCAAGAGCAAATGCATGGCCATGTAGTACAGGGACACACCCAGAGTGAGGGGGCAGGATGTTTCAGAGGAGTTCAATTAGTGTGAGATTTCTTAGGAAACCTTCTCAGAGGGAAGAGTCATGAGTCTTAACAGAAAAGAGCCAGGGGTGCTGTTCAGTGCCACAACAGGGAGCCAGGAAATATTTTACAACCTAGAACTAAAAGCAAACACAGGTTATCTTTGCCATTTATTCCACTGAGTCTCCTCTGTCCCCCAGAAGAATCAAAGTCACATATACATTTGTCACCAGGAAATGGAATAACAGAGTGGGTACTTACCCCAGCCTTGATGTAAATGGGAACAAACACCCAGTCCAGCACAACCACAAAAAACAGGGCCTGAAACCAAAACAAGAGGTGGATTCAAATCAGGAGGAAACTTAACCCATCTCTACTTACCTGAAGGACCCTTTAGCTGCTGCAAAAAACTCACCCATCCCTTTCTTTTTTGGATTGAAGAGCAACTCTTAGGTGGCCATTAGAGACTGTAGGATGCCTTAGTTTCCCAATTGGCCCAAAGAAACAGAAACTGCGCAACAGCAGAGGGAGCCCAGGAAGCTATTGCTATCATCACAGCCCTGGGCCCCAGCCAAAGGACTGAGATCTCCTTTGACTCTTCCCTATATTACATGAGGATAAAATACCATTTAGAGAATAATAATAATATATGGTGCAATGAGTTAGACATCATTACTCTAACTAAGTACATGTATGAAGACATGAATGGTGTGAAAATACTTTGTGTACAGTGACTAGAAAATTGTGCTCTATATGTGTAATATATATATATATATATATATATACATATATACATATATGCATTCTGACATCATGTATAACAAATTAGAATAGATAAATAAATTAATAAAAAAGAGAATAATAACAATAATAATAATTGGTGATAAGCATTTCCAAACTTGTAACATGGCTAGAAAGGTCTGGGACCTCATCTTTTTAACACCAAAGGGAAAGAGAAAAAATATTCTTACTATCCTTCAGTGTATCTCTCATGCTACTCTGGTGGAAGGAAAGCAGAACACCTGGGCTCCTAAAACCATGCTCCTCCATCTGCATCCCAGGATGGCTCTGAGCAGTTGGGTTCTATCTCAAGCTGCTCTGGACACAGACTGACCTGGCTAAGTGCTAAGGTTCTGCTATAGTTTGGGTATTGTTTAGCATGTCCCCTAATGGTTCATGTATTAGAGGCTTAGTCCTCAGCATGGTGGAGGTGGTGGAACACAATATGAGGTGGAGCATAGTATAAAGTTCTTAGGTCACTGTGGGTACTGCTCATGTAATAGATTAAGGTAGTTCTGAAGTGACCCCTTGGAAGTTATAGAAAGTGTTATAAATGCCTGACTCTGGCCCCACCCATCTCTCTGACTTCTTATTTTGGGTGATATTACCTCTCACACACAATGCTGCTATTGTCTTCCACCAGGAGATACCACAGTCAAGTGGGTCCCTTACAAGGACCTGTAACATGCTGCTTGGACTTTTGACTTTCAAAACCATGAGCTGAATAAACCCCATCTTCATAAACTTAGCTTACATCTGGTATTTCATAATAGTAACTCAAACAGACAAGTACAGGCTCTTCCACTTCTCCAACACAGTGGCACTGATGCTACTTACATTCCATTCAAAGGCTCCAGTGGCAATCCCTGAAGCTGCTCCAGTCCCAGCCAGCCCCACAAAGTGGCCACTTTCAATGTTACTGGCGAAGAGAGAGGCTCCAACCTAGAAACATAAAGATAAAGTCAGGAGAGAAGTCAGGAGCAACCCAGTGACATGATTCATTTTCTTCTCTGTAATTTCCTCCCCCATCCCTTCTGAATTTGAGATTATAGACTTTATCTAAAATTTCTCCAGCTTGACCTTGCTTGTGACTAAGAAGCCCTCTTCATCCCCTGATGGGGTGAGAAAGGCTGTTATAAACATTTACACAGTTTTACTGCCACTGTGCTTGAGAATCTGTGTCAGACCAAACTAAGCAGGTTTGATTGAATGGTAATTGGGAAAATAACATGTCATACCACAAAAGGCAAAAAGACCATGTGTTTCCTTTTCCCTCTAGGCAATTTGTGATCACATTTGACTGCCTACATTTCCTGTCCAACAAGGTTGGCAAAAGAGAAGATAGAGAAATTAGAGAATTTAAGGCTAGGGATATAGCTCAGTTGCTAGAGTGCTTGCCTCACATGCACAAGGCCCTGGGATCAATCCCCAGCACCACAAAAACAAAGAAAGAAAGAAAGAAAGAAAGAAAGAAAGAAAGAAAGAAAGAAAGAAAGAAAGAAAGAAAGAAAGAAAGAAAGGAAGGAAGGAAGGAAGGAANGAAGGAAGGAAGAAAGAAAGAAAGAAATTAGAGAATCTTGCAGAATTTGATGGATCCAAGCATATCAGCTTGAGGCCCTTTTGCAACACCTTCTAAGTGATGGTCAGCTGCATACACACATCTAACAACAACTCCCCACTTTTCCAGACAGCTGAATCTATGGTGGAACATTTAATTTTTTTAAATTAATACCCTCTTTACCTTGAGCTGAAACCTACCAATGTCCTACTTTCACCCTAGTGATACAGAACAAATCTCTCTTCCACAAGCTCTTACTATATCTAAAGACAGAGGTAATGCACTCCCCTCTTATTCCCCAATCCAAACTTCTTCTTATTGTATGTCTGCTTCTCCTTAGCCATGGACTTGAATCTCATCACCCTGTTCTTCTCTGCTTCCCTTAGCCCCATCTTTCTCCCCAAGTGGGTCTCAAAACCAAGTAGATTAATCTAGACATGAGCTGTCCAGAATGAGACAGGATGCCTTTCTTGCCTTTCCATCTGGCTTTAACATCCTCCAACACCAACTTCTTTTTTAAAGTTTCATGATTCTTGGCAGTACTGAAGATTGAGCCAGTTCCTCTAATTTCTAGCACTTTTGGAGGATCTGCCTGTAAATTATTCGGAAAATTTAACAAGACCATTTTTTTTCTCCCAACATTTTGGGGAGAAATGATTTTCCTGGACATTTTCTTTTGTGATTTAATTAGTTTTACCTTTAGATAAGGCTCACAGGAAGCCATCCAACTAGTGGGATTGCATCTATCTTTTGAACCAAAGACAGACATTACTCTATTTAATAACTCCTTCAGTGCTTAACTCAGTTGTAGAGATGTGTTCCCAGAACTTGTACTATTCACAGTGCTCTGCAAACCAGGGACATCAGCTTCTCTTTGGAGCTTGTGAGAAATGCAAACCCTCAATTGCCTCCCAGAGACTTAGTGAATGAGAGTTATAAGCTCTCCACTCCACGTGATTCATATGCACTTTTAGGCTTAAGGAGTCTTCTCTAATCTGTATTAGAAGTCATCATTCTCTCCTTAATGTTGTTTTGCCCTCTCTTGGGAAGCAGAAGTGCAGTCCCTAGCTATACAATTACAATGCTAAGATCTGGAGGACAAAAAGTTTGGGGTGAAAGAGGCTGTCTCCAAAGTCTCCTGCTTTACCTCCAGAATTTTAAAGGTCTGTTACCAAGGCATTTATACTTCCCAGTTGGAGATACTGTTACTCAAACCATGTGTCAAGATATGGCATGAGGACTGAACAAAACTTTGGCCATCTCACCTCTAAAATCCCAGAGTTGACAGACTCAAATTAAGAATCCCAGGATATCCTATGTCACAGTAAAGTTATTGAGATATCCAAATGGAAAAGTCAAAGACTTTGTGGGGAAATACTTCCACAAACAATTTAGCTCAAGAAATAGGATCATTAGAAGTTTCCAGATGGTGATCACAACCACCAGAAACAACAAAAATGGGCTACTAGAAAACTCATCTGCCCTCTGATATGACCTGGAATTCACAAGAGGAATAATAGGCACTGAAGCCACTTCACAATCAGGACAATCCTACTTTCTCCAACCCAGCAGCCCTGCAATGTCCTGTCACATCCTCTACCTTCTGGCAAAATCACACCAACTCAGTCTCCTAGACATGCTCTGTGCTTTCCTGACTCCCATGTTAATATGTTTTCCGTTCCTGAAACTCCCTCTCTATTGAGTTCTGCCTTCCAAAACACTGTGTCAGTCATCAAAATGAGGCATAGTCCCATCTCATCACTGATACCATCCAGAGCTGATCTCTTCCTGTTCTGATCTCTTGTCCCACATGCTGTCTATTCCACTCTCCTGGTGCATTGCACACCCTATGCTGGTACAGCAGTGCCCCCTTAATCATGGTTTCACTGATATCAAATGTTTGAATGTTCCTCTTGGGAAAACAACAGGAAGCATTGCAACCAAATGCCTTGCAGTTGCATTTTTTCCTACTGGTTACATGAAATTGGGACTTTTCACAGGAATATGCCAAGGTACACTCTATCTTGAAGGAGAGGCAATAAACTTGGCCAGCTAGGCTTACACGGGGCTCATAAGGACAGCAGGGCATTCTAGAGAAATGTCTCTATGAGATGTCAATCTGGTACCCTGTTTAGCAGTAGTAAGAACAATACCACAAGTGGGGTGGGGGAGATCTGATATTATGGGTTATTTTCTATCAAACAGACAAAATATTTTCAATTATAATACTTGGTATTGGTAAGTAAATTTTCTCTTCCTTATATTTCTGGTATAATTCATCTTCTTATACTATATGAAGACTTATATTATTTGGGGGACTCTATCTTAAGCAAATTATCTGACATGCAAAGATTTATTTAGATGGATTTCATTAGTATGTTCATTGCCAGGCAAACTATACACCATATGATCCCTGAAATTTTAAAATATATGCATGTGTGCACATTTGTACATAAATTGACAGAAATATCTAATTTAACAATGGCTACCTTTGGAAAAGAAAATAACAAATACATTGTTTTACTTCTTTATACTTTTCCAATTTTTTCATGATGAGTTTCTGTAATTTTATAATCATAACACAATTTTTTAAACCTTTGACAATGAAGCACTGCAATTCCAAAGTTTCTATCCTAGACTCACTGGCAGAGCCTAAGAACTAAAAACAAAGTTATGTATTTGGAGGGATATAGAAAAAGACATGAAATGTCACTAAATACTAACTATGATAAAGTTTTCTGTGACAGGAAATAGAAGATTTACACCTTAAACCAACTTATCTGATGTTAGAGATGGAATTACCTTGGAAAAGACTATAGTCAACATTATTTTCAAATGAAAATAAAATTATAATCCAGAAGAAGAACATGGTTCAAGTTTACACATGAATGTTATCTTTACTTCTAACCTAGGGGCCAAGAATTACCCATGAAATGGGTAGGAAATGGACAGGATTACATTTGTCTTCCTATCTTAAAAATTAAGAGCATTAGCATCTTGGGAGGCTGGGGCAGGAGCATCGTGAGTTCAAAGCCAGCCTCAGCAAAAGCGAGGCACTAAGCAACTCAGTGAGACCCTGTCTCTAAATAAAATACAAAATAGGGTTGAGGATGTGGCTCAGTGATTGAGTGCTCCTGAGTTCAATTCTTAGTACCAAAAAAAAAAAAGTGTTGGGACAAGTGCATGGAGTACTGTATACATGGCATACTTTAAGGGCGTGTGAGTGGCAAACCACTTACCCTGTAGGCACAGCCCTGAGCATGAGGCTGCGTGTTGCAGTCCCTGTGCTTTCTCTATGGCCCACTCCTCTATTGGTTGCTGCAAGGACAGTTGGCCAGAAATTGTATTGGTGGCTGCCTGTAATCTACTTAGCTACTACTTGAGTATATATACATATTTCCTGCACAATAAAATCAGACCTGCTTCCTGCTTGATCTTCAGAAGTCTTGATTAGTGACTGCACCACCCTCTCCTACTGTGGACCTCCTCGCTGGACAAGAGAGAGCCCACGCAAATAGGAGCATTCAATGGATTTTGGAAAGTATTCTAAATGTTTCAAAAAAAATGTGTAGAAAGGATTTTGAATGTTTCCACACAAAGAAATGATAGTGTTTGAAGTGATGGACATCACAATTACTCTCTCCTGATTATTACACATTTTATGTATTTATTAAAATGTCACATTGTGCCCTATAAATATGCATAATTATTCCATGTCAATTAAAAATAATAAAAATATATATCTTTCAAACTATCCTGTATCAAAAATCATGTTTGAATTCATTAAAGGCTTCCCTTCCCCTTCTTCTAAGCACACTGGGAACCTTTCAACCAGGTTCTAATCTTGGCTCTGCCATCACAAACTATGTGACCTTGACCCAGTCACTTTTGTGCTTTGAACCTTAGTTTCCTCTGTTATAAACCAAGAATAAGACTCTTCCTTCCCCTAACCCACAAGGGTATTGTTGCATTTAAATGAGATGACAAATGTCGGAGACCTTTAAGAAACATTTGCCCACAAAGTCATACTACTCTGAAAGAATACTAATATACGTTTTTACATGACCTGTGTTTTTATGGAGTGCCCTGAGTTTCATCAAAGAGCCAGAGTTGTCTGTTTCTCTTTGAGGGAGAAAGATCATAGCTCAAACGGAATTGCACTCAACAAATTTCAAGAAACTACTTTCTTCATTAATTAAGCATGTAATTTCAATAATATCCAGAACACTGAGATGACACCCTGCTCCCTGCTTCTGTCCTCCTCTTTAAAGGATAGGACTGTTTCTCCATCCCTTCTCTGGGCTGTGCTAGACACATCTATTGGGATGTTCTCCCAAAAGTGATTCTCAAACTTTAGCACACATCACCATATGAGATTCCAAACTAAATATGCATTTCACATTAGTAATTAATATAGTTTTTTAAGTACATCATGTGCAATATTTGGGATAACTTATCATAAAATGTTTTTCTTGTTTGTCTGAAATTCACATTTAACTGAATATTGTGTATATTTATTTGTTGAATTTGGCAATCCTAATTAAAATCACCTAGAAGCTTTCATTGTTCTGCCTGATTCTCTAGAGTTTCTGATGCAGTAGGTCTAGGTTAGGGCTGGACAACTAGCAAGGTCTGGGTACCTCACTTAGAGAGCCCCACACTGGGAAAATAAGAAAAGGAAAGAGGAACACTGACTTTAACAGTGCCTCCAAGTGTTAGGCCATGAACTTAGTTCACTTTATCTTATTTAATGCCCACAAAGTTTGGTAAGGTTGGTATTATTCATCTTAATTTTACAGATGAGATTAAGGATCAGAGGAGTGGAGKGACTTGCCCAAGGTCCAATAGGTTCTTAAAGTCCAGAAGGCACAAGAATTGCTTCAGCCCCCCACTGACTCCCCCCTTTTCTGACAGTTTCTTCTAATTTCCATGAAGGGGCACCATGGGAAGAGACCCTCCTCCCTACCATCTCACTGTAAACTCAGGAGCAGCATGTGCTCCCCTGCATCATCTTTTTTTTCCTCCTTCACCTTCTCAGGAACTGTTAATATCTTTTTCCCTTTAGTAACTGTCTTTTCAATAAGGAAAATTTGAAAAGGTTTAACCTTTGACACTTGCCATCTCTCAGGAATCACACTTCCTGGATAGGAACAGAAATAGGGTTGGGTTTGTATATTCAGAATATTTTATTTATGAGTCTCTGGTAAATATTTAGACACAAGCTATGCTCCAGAGTTGTTATAACCTCTGTTTACTCTACATCAGCTCATGTGCCCACAGACAATGGTTGTCTTTCATGCATTACATATATGCACATCTCTCCCCTGACCAACAAATCAAAGTGATAAGAAGTCAGGAAGTCACTGCCAAAGCTGGTATCTTCCCACCAGTTTTTGACACAAAAGGCAGGTGAGGTCTTCTGCTGGAATTTAGAGGTTGAGGGGACTGGACACCAACCGACCCACCAACAGATGAACCCATCTTCAGAATCATCAACAATTCAAAAGGCCTGATCTAAATGTACCGAATCTCTCTCATGCTGCCCCTTTTCAATTCTTTATATACCCTCACCTTCTTTTCTATCTCAGTGCCTTTGGGCATCTGTTTATTTTGCTTAGATTGCTCATCCCCCAATTTTCCTTATTTTATATTTTAAAAATTTTAATTGATTCATAAAAAGTACACATACTTATGTGGTAAAATGTGGTTTGTCAATGCACTTATACAATGTGCAATGATCAAAACACAGTAATCACTTCAATCATTTCTTGTTTCTGGATGAGTTTTTCTGTTCCTTTAGGTCTTAGCCTAAATGCCCAATCCTCATAAATTTCCACACTATGTTAGCAAAGAAGACCCTTCTCTTTTCCACCTACCCTTAACTCAAATTATTTTATTTCTTAACATTTAACCATTACTTATAATATTATATATCTTGTGGAAATGTGACATGTACACACATAAATTCATATATATAGGCACCTATCACAGAATCTGACACATAGTAATCACATGTAGTTGTGGAAAAAAGAATAGCAAATCATAAATAGATGACAGAATAAATGAATTCATAACTAAAGGGAAAGGATCTGCAAATTTGATAAAATAATGATTATAATGATAATAGCCAACCCTTGATTAGTACTGAAAGTATCCTATCATAAGATATTCACATACACTAACTAGTTCAATATTCATAAAAGGTAGGTGCAATTATCTCTATTTTGCATTTGAGGAATTGGGGCACACAGAGAGTAACTCACCCAATAGCCATGTAAGTATGAATTTAGGGAGCTGGGGTTTTAACCAAGGCTTCCAACTCCAGAGTCTGTGCTCTTAACTATAACTTTAAATCACCTCCTTAACATAAAGTTTGCCCAAAGAGATTGATATAGTTGCCTTGACTCACTTTGCCACATGCCAAGATAGACAAGGAAAGCCCAGATATATTTCTTAATGCAAAAATCACTTCACTTTAGCTGACAGTTTTAGCACTCTTCTGACTTTGACCAACTGGAAACAATGATTGAAATTTAGTTTGTTCTTTCTGTCTACAAAAGTGTTAATTTGTTAGAAAATACTGGGAAGGTAGCCAGTGGGAAAGGGGAATCTGGGAGCTTAGGTACTAACTAGATGACAGCATCTTGGCTACATGCCAGTTGACTGATGCCTAGGAACACAAAGAGGTGAGTGGCACGTGATGCCTAGGAACCCATGGGGAGGTGAGTGGCAATACATTTCTCTAAGAAGGTTCTCAGCAGGGACTAAGAATAGAAGAATGGGAGGCAAATTGCTCTACCAAAAAAATGAAGAATAATGAGAAGGAGAGAATGAAGGTGAAAGGGAAAAGTAGAGAAGAGCAGGAAAAGGAGAAAGCAAGAGGAGATAGAGGAAGAAGAAAATGAGAAGCAGCAAAAAGAGCAAGAAAGGAAGAAGAGAACAAAGGAACCAGGTTATTTAAGAGCAAAGCAGGAGCTGGCAAAAATTTTCACTGAAAAGGAGATACATATTATGGGAATTTTCAAGTTTTACAAAAAGTTGACTCAAACTGACAAAAAAAAAAAAAAAACAGTCTTGAGATAGAGAGGAAGCATGGCCACACCAGACTTTACCAAGATTCCAATGTGGGCTGAAATTAGATACTCCACCACAGGCTCACACCACTGCACCTGGATCAGACTGCACCAGTGAGAGACCTTGAGCGAGGTGATTGCTGGTGGCTTGGCTTGGTCCACAGTGAAGTTCATGGAGGAAGCTTCATGAAGGAAGTGGATGGACAATGGACTCTGCTGGCATTTACTGTTTAATAATTATTAAGGTTTTAATGAGGAAAATAACAGAACCAATGAATGGCAGAACTATCAAAATGACAAAACTATTAGATATAAGGAGGAGTATTGTAGTTTACTCATTTAGAAATGGCAATAATAATAATAATAATAGATGAATAACAGTGAATGAACCACAAAAAGGGAAGCCTAAGCAGGAAGAATCACCTCATCAGTTATGAGAGAGTTTATTCTAAAATATCTGTTATTTCATTTAACCTTATAAAAATAGTTCCTTTAGAAATAACTTTAAGGAAAATTATTTTGTAGATGTTCCAAGTTTTATGAAAAGATTAGACAGAATACTCAACTTTAAATGATAATAGAATATAAAGGTTTTTAGTATATAAGTAAATTTAATCATGGCTTCAATAAAAATATATTTTAAGACCTATAGAAATGATTTAAATATTTTCCTGTATGAGTTACTTCATGTGAATTTTGTTTTCTTGGGCATTTTGTGTTGTAATGCCAGAGTTAAACATAAATTAGATAGTAAATACATTATCATTTACCAGAATGCCTACCCTCCAAACCAACATTGTTTCTTTATTTCTGAGTAATTACAACTTGTTTCAAGAGAGCTGTGGCTAATTAAAAATAAATTTCAACAGTAAATAAAAAACAAATTTGGATACTCCAATTAAGGACAGACTTGTTTTTCCAGTTTTACTATTATGAGCCTTAAAAAAATAGAGCAGCAAAAGCCATTTTCTCTGTGCACAGAGACAGAAATTTGGAGCCCTGCTGGAGAAAGACTTTGAGTTGGATCCTCCTGAATTCTTACCAATGCCTACACTAGAGAAGAGAATGCAGACTGAGCTCTCAGGTGACACCACCAAGGGGTGCCAGCATGAGGATCTGCAGACATTTCCCTCTCCTCTCTCCCTCCTCTCAAATTCAGCTCCTATTTCCAGTGCTTGCCTTCATTGAAAGATCTTGGAGCAGGTATTGTAAGGGATAAAGAAAAATTATGAAAAGTATAGGATTAGACCTCATCAGAGGATACTGGGATAAAAAGAACACAGATGGCTTTTTGCTGGTGGAAAGCAATCCCAACAAGAAGACAGGGCCCAATGAACTTGGGTGGTAAAAGGAGGAAGAAATCACTTCTCTGAGATTTTTGAAGGATAAACTACTTGTCTTTCTTTCTCATTTTGTCCTGGGGATTTCTCTTTTAGTGGACTTTCTGTCTCTCCTATGTCCATTTGCCTAGTTCCCTCCCTTTTCTCTCTGTTTCACGAAGTCCCACCTGTCTTGGGCCTGCCAGGTTTTACAAGACATACTTTTGGTCCTCTAGTGGCATTGTAAGGGGCCAAACTTTGGTTGGATCATTAGCTTTTAGAGACTTAAAGTTAAATCTGGTATATTTTTCTCCAGAAGGTTTTAAAAGTTTGAGAAGCTGTCTTCTTTCTCCAGGGATAATTTCTATCATGGTCTCTGGTCAACACTAAATGAAAGAATTTCTGGGTTTTCAGGTTAACCTTAAGGCTACACCTATTGGCCTCATAACTCTTCTCAAAGGACAAAGAGAAAGAGACCTGAATAACCAGAAGAACAGAGGGAGTCCTAGCTCAGTCCTTATCTTTGAGTGAACTTGGCCCATGGAGTCAATCCTCATCCTTATTATATTTGCAAACTAGATCACTGAAAAATCAATGAGATAAGTGATGTGATAGTCTTTGGAAAAGTTTCTACTTGAAAAAAAAGGAAAAAAATTAAAAGAGCTACCATTAAGACTTTACTATCAATACTAGTATACACATGTTCTCAAAACAATAAACAATAAATCTGGTCCTTTGCCTGTTTTTTTTAAATAAAGTTTATTGGAACACAGCCATGCCCATTCATTAATGCACTTTTAATGGATGCTTTTGTGCTACAAAGATGAGTTGAGTAGTTTTGACAAATATCACAGCTACAAAGATGAAAATGTTTACCATGTAGCCTTTTGCAGAAAAAGTTTGCCAACTCTTTCCCTAAGGCACTGGGATATAACGCTTTCTGTAAATTCTCTAACAATAAAAGAAGGAAACTAATTCTGGCTGTCCGAGACACCATAATCTCCATGGTCTTTGCAGGTAATGGATTACCTAGCATGCCCACACCCATTCCCTGTACTTTCCCCCTCCTCTTTGGTATATAMAGTCTTAGAATTTCAGTCCTGGAAGAGCCTTTGAAACTCATTGAATGTTTTTGCCATGGTCAGCAGGCCAAGAGAGATGCCAGCTCTGGATAGCCTCTGGCTTCTGTAATGATGTCTTTGGGCCAGCACATTTGAGAACCAATATTTGAGACCTCTCATTGGACCCCTAACATAAAAAGAGGAAACTCCTGGAGCCTTGGAGAAGTTAATGAATTTCTCAATGTCATAAGGCTTGGTTAAGTCAGGTCCTTTGGTTCCTTGTGCAGTTCTCATTCCCTGCCCTTTGGAATGTTTACTTCTGAGTAGAAAGAGTTCCCAGGGGGTTGTCCCAGCCTTGTTGTGCCCCATGCTCCCATGGTGTCCACTCTGTCAATGTATAATTATGACCAAACTCCTCTCTGAAACAAGAGTATTCCCTGAGATGTGCCTCTGGGGGCCTACTTTTCTGAGTAATTTCTGCTGCCTGTAGCCAAGGAGTAGGAAGTTCTCTTTCGAAACTCAGCCCATGAGTTTCCTAGCCTTCTTGCTTTCATATCTTCCATGTCCCTCAAATGATCATCACAATATAGCACACAGGCAGCTGCTAGGTAAAAAAACAAGAACTATGTTGACTAGAAGTGATGAAAAAGAGCATYCCTATCTTGTTCCAGTTTTTAGAGGGAATTCTTCCAATTTTTCTCTGTTTAGAATGATATTGGCCTTGGGTTTAGCATAGATAGCTTTTACAATGTTGAGATATGTTCCTACTATCCCTAGTTTTTCTAGTGTTTTGAACATGAAAGAGTGCTGTATTTTGTCATATGCTTTTTCTGCATCTATTGAGATGATTACATGATTCTTATCTTTAAGTCTCTTGATGTGATGAATTACCTTTATTGATTTCCATATGTTGAACCAAACTTGCATCCCTGGAATGAACCCCCACTTGATCATGGTGCACTATTTTTTAAAATGTGGTGTTTATATGTGACTTGCCAGAATTTTAATGAGATTTGAAAACTGGTTGGGGTAAGAATACTCAAATGAGAGCCTCATCATTAAATCAGTGGATTCTGTACAAAAGTATGACGCCATGCATCTCTTTGGTTATAATAATCCAATTCTGAGATATGCATATATGTTCTTAAGGAAAAGAACACCCATGGAAAATACTATATGAACCATTGAACCCTACCTGCTTAGAGTAGGGTTAATTCCTCTCATTAATCAACCATCAGCCCAGATATAGACTCAGACAATATCAGGAAGAAAGAAATTATTGCTGGTCAATATGTGAAGTATTCCCAGACCTAGGCTAGACTAAAATGCGAATCTCCTATGTGTGATTGTGCCGCATGCATTCCCTCTCATTGGCTTCTCCAAGTCCCAGAAATTGGAAACTGAGGTATCACACCCAATAAAACATTCCTAGAGGCACAAAAATTCATCTTGATTACAATAAATAGAAGGGAAAATAGCTGTGTAAAAAAATGCAATGATTTATCTTAAAAGTGGTGAGTTTCCTATCATGGGGGGATGTATAGGAGAAAGGGGTACTGGAAAAACAAACTGAGACTGGATGAGTATTTGGCAGGCTTGCTATAGGTGTTGAGAACCACAGCCAAAGGGGCCCCAGCAAACTTCCAGCTGCCAGCAAACTTCCAGCTGCCAGGCTGATGATTGGCTCACAGTGGCCCCAGCAACATCTAGCTGATTGGCTCCTCTGCGGTGATGTTCATTGGGCTGTTTCCCTGCCCTTCAGACTG